AGATGGCGAACAACGGATGATCCTTTCCCATTTGCTGTCGGATAGCCTGTTGCTTGATTGCGGTACGCAAAGATTTTGCAAAATCAGAGGGAAAGGAAAAGAATGTGCCTTGTTTGTCTTTCAAACTTCTTGCCGAAAACTTGAGTCGGTATTCGGGGTTCATACATTCTACGCCCGTGATCCTAACAGGACACCGTGACACCTGACGATCAGCGTTTATTCGAATGCCTCTTGTATTTGGAGACGGAGCACTCGAAGAAGTCTATGTACTCCGTATCTCGTTGTGAAGTCGTTGGCCGGCGTAATATTGGAGTCGAGCGAATTCCTTCTAGGATACGCATGGCAGCGACGCAGAGGAATTTCAATTCAATTGCACAAAGAACTTGCCATGATAGTCCTAATTATTAAAAAAGTAATCACTGTAAAATATAGTTACTCATTAATCAGCCATTATATTATTAACAATGGCGATTTATGGTGGGGCAACAAAGCGCGGCTCGATGGTCAGCCAAAAAAATCAGCATCGAAGGCCTATTATTTATTTGAGTACTTATCATTGAAAACGAATGTCTTAAAGTAATCTAGGAATATAAGGATATGCGTACATAGAATATATCTTGTAACGTTTGCGTTTTAACGCAAATTGATGTCGAACGAATTATTCGTAGAATATTTAAGCTGAAGTGAAACCCCTTTCAAATCGGTCGAGCCGAATAAAGACACTTTTCTTTTTAAGTATCAAACCGAACCGTCTGTAACTTTGATATCCAGTTATTGAAGGCTGCAATATGAGAAACGAAAGTGTCAGGACAAATTTACGGCAATTTTAGAACACTCTGGTAATCGATAAACTCGCATTTGCACGGGATAAAGGCAAAAGAAGTGTCATGCACTTCTATGCTAAAACGATGTCATACGAGGTCTCGGAGTGAAAATTTAGTTGATTTGGAAATCACAGATGGCGCAGGGGGTCCCTCTGCAGTCAATTAGGGCTCCAGAAAGCATGAATCCAGAGGATTTCTAGAGTTTTACTTCGATTTCTTGATAATTATTGTACGAAAACGAAAGGTGGAGCATGCCATTTAGTACAATATCCAATATAATTCACCATAGCTGTAATATAAACTCGAACGTCGGCAACGTAGGCATTTAGAAAAATCTTCTTTATCGACATTGATCAAGTTAATCGACGCGTTTCACTTCACCTTAAACGTTCAGCCAAACCGTGAAATGGCCCGATGTATGACCGACAATTTTGTTGTTTATGGCACACGCTATTTAACACGGAATTTAATTCGTAAGGCAAGGGGTTAACTTGAAATAAAGTAATACGCTTATTCAACCGTTATGTAATAATAAAGGTTTGATGTACCCGAGTTCCACCGATTGGCCCAGAAAAGGTTACAACTGGGGGTTGCCATTTATCCGAACGTTTGTTGCGTTTAGAAACGAAGCACTTGAGGTAATCCCGTGCACGTAAAGGCGTACATATGTATCATGAAATCAATAAGGTTCGTGTGGTATCCGATAGAGTTCGCAGAAGCGAAAAAGTTGCAGGAACTTTTTGGTTATCTCGTATCTCGTTGCGAAGTCTACGCCTCGACGCGAGTCGACCTGGAACGAATTTTTACCGGAATATTTATGGCACCAACGTGAAGGAATTTCAATTCAATAGTACGGAGACTTCTCTTCGATAATACCATCTTGCTGTTCATTATTTTAATATGTGCTCGTCTATGTTTCTTCAATTTCTATGTCGATATTAACGCCCGCCCGAAAGGGCGCAACGCAGAAATATGTCACAACGGTCGGCCCCGAAAGAACAACACCTGGGGCCCGCCATAGCCATTTGTCTGAATGCTTCTCATCTTCGGAGGTGAAGCACTCGAATTTATTCATGCACGTCTATGTCACTGTACAGTCGCTGTCGCGACGCGAAATCGAAATCGAACGAATCCGTAGGATATTCACGACAGCGACAGGAACTTCATTTCAATACTACACTGTTAAAAATGTCGGTAAATATCAAACAATTTAATACACTAACAAGGAATCATTCCCAAGTGTCCGCCCTCGATCTTATTGATTTTCATATNCCTTGGGGGGGTGTAGCATTGCTGGACAATATTGTGTTTTCACCGTCCTTATACGGAATACGTTTATACCAAGTTTCGTCGAAATTCCTCCACTGCTTCTACGAAAATTATTATAAAAACTGAATTTTTGCCAAACTTTGGGGGGTTGTTTCACCTCTTAAATGTGGACCATTGCAGATATAAAAAAACACGTGTCTCTTAGATTTTTGTGTTCTTCAACATATGTGGAAATCCTCATTATTTACGGGATAACAATGCACGTGAATTTATATAATAATAATTAAACTTTGCAAACCTGTTTCAAAACTGTATCTTAGTGATGCATAGTTTTACTCTGAATATGATTGCTAGCAGTGTGCAAATTTTAAATAAGAAAAAAGGAAAGGTTTGCAGCTGACATGTTAATAATATGATTAATCTGAAACTAATGAAACTCTGTACTGAAAATGATATTAAGTACGCACTGCACCGATAATATCAGATTTATACAAAATTTTAATTTTTTTCTATACACTATAAGCATCTGTGCTAAATTGTGCATCCTTTCTTGGTTATTATTACACATTTTCTCTCCGATGTGCAGTACTGCAATTGTTGGTAATCAAATTGTGATCCATTTTAATTTTTTTTCTATACACTATAAGCATCTGTACTAAATTGTGCATCCTTTCTTAGTTATTATTATACATTTTCTCCCCGATGTGTAGTACTGCAATGGTCGGTAATCAAATTGTGACCCTGTAGCGACATCTGTCGTCGCATTGTCGAACTTGATAATACTGAAATACGCTACGGCGACTGCGCAGGATTACGCGCGAAAATTTAACTTATTTAACACAAACTGTAACATTATGTTCTAATACAAGATTATTAAGTGTTAATTTAGTTTGTAAACAGGAAATAATAGATGTGTAGAAACTTGTTCTAGAAACTACTCTCCATGTAACGCAAACACATCATCGAATGCATCGCGGGTAGCGCAGCCGAAGGAAGTGATGTAAATTGCTACATAATTGCTCCACGGAATGCCTGATTCATTCAATGACGCCCGGATGTGCCATAATTCACTCTAAGCACTGTAATTCGTAATGCCGGGGCAGGCTCGTACGATTAAATCGTAATTTCAATTTGCAGGCACTGTGCACGAGAAACCGATGCGAGTCTGTATCTCGTCGGACGAGGAAACGGCGTAAATTATGAGATTGCGAACCCCTTGGAATTATGTACAATTAACGACATTTTAATGTGAAGTAAAACACCCCTCAAATCAGTCGATTCGAATACAAAACTTTTTTTAAGGGTATTGGACCAAACTGTCTGCAACTTTGACACATGATTCGTGATCACCTAAGAATTGTCCTGACACATTCAAAATTTGGATTTTTCAAAAAAATTGTTTAACTTAGCCCAAACGAGAACCAAAATGGCGTCGAGCTCTCATATTTCGATCAGTATATATTATTGAAGGCTCTGATATGAGAAACGAAAAGGTCAGGACAATTTTACGACAATATAGAACACTCTGGTAATCGATAAACTCGCATTTGAAAGGGGTAAAGGCAAAAAAGTGTCTTATGGGCTTCTATGCTAAAAGATGGAAATACGAGGTCTCGGAGTGAAAATTTAATTGACCCAGAAATAACAGATGGCGCATGGGGTCCTTCTCCAGTCAATTACGGCCCCAGGAAGCATGAATCCAGATGATTTCTGGAGTTTTACTTCGATTTCTTTGTAATTATTGTACGAAAACGACAGGTGGAGTATTCCATTTGGTACAATACCCAATATAATTCGACACAGTTGTCAAAAACGAACGTCGGTAACGTAGGTATTTAGAAAAATCTTCTATATCGATTTCGATCAAGTTCCTCGACGTGTTTCACTTCACCTTAATTATCTTAAGGTGAAGTGGAACCCCCTTCAAATCAGTCGATGCGAAAAAGACACCTTTTTTAAGGGTATTGCATCAAACTGTTGGAAACTTTATATATGTGACTCGTGAGCACTTAAGAATTATCCTGACCCTTTCAAAATTTGGGTTTTCGAACAAAAAAAAAATTGTTCGACTTAACCTAGACCAGAACCAAAATGACGTCGAGCTCGCATATTTCGATCAATATACAATTATTGAAGGCTCTGATATGAGCATCGAAAGTGTCAGGACAATTTTACGACAATTTAGAACACTCTGGTAATCGACAAACTCGCATTTGAACGGGATAAAGGCAAAAAAGTACGTCGGTAACGTAGGTATTTAGAAAAATCTTCTATATCGATTTCGATCAAGATCTTCAACGTGTTTCACTTCACCTTAACGGCGTTCACCACCAAAGTGGGGACGATGACTTCCACCGCTAGATGGCATTAGCATCGAATTCGGTGGGAGGTAACCAAAATGTACTTTCTCGCTCGGGTGAGGGAGACGCGACGCATAATGGGCGGTGTTTAGCAACGGGCGAAAAATGTGTGCGTATTTTGCACGTATAGGACTCACAATGGCTAGACGCCTCTGGACTAGGCGCCGAAATGTGTGTGACCCCCGGCCGCACGCACACGCCAGTTGGATGCTCCGCCTAGAGTCTGCCGACTCTAGGCAAGGGTTGCTAAGGAATGCCCAAATTCCTCGCGAGAAATTCGAAAATACTGAAAAAGGTGCTCCACGGGAACAACGATTTTGAGCGTATTTCTCAACCGCTCGAGCTCAACGAGTGCTCGTTTTAAAGATAAAATGTTGACGTGTGTTTATATGGGAGCGATTTTCGATAAGTGGTCATTTTCATAGAAAAAAGTGCAACGACATAATTTCAATGCCCTTTTAACTAGGAAGGAAAAAAATTCAATTATCTTTTTTGAAAACCGAACTACTACATTTGCGAATGTAACACATAATTAGCCTGTAAGGAGGGCAAAATATTAAGATAAAGAAATTACAGGTTTTTAAAGGTAGGGGTCCATCAACTCCACGTACTTTGAATTATGGAAAATTGTATGGAGCTCATGCTATCGATACAATAAAATCGACAAAAGCACCACATTATTAAACACTATACTGCGTATATTCACGTAGAACTACGTCCTGATGGTGCCAGAAAAAGAAATATTGTTATGTACGCTACCATTTATAGGGGATCGAAACCGTGACACTGTAGGTTTTATGGTCATACATTGCAAGTATAGACAGATAATGCGAGAAGTAGGATCGGTAGAAGTATGACGGCTATATCTCATATTTTCGTAACATTCAATTTCTTAATGTACACCCCATACCTAGCTACAAACGGCCGGAATGGACACAGTTCTACGTCAAAAACCAACGTACAGAACTTGTATATTTTCAATAAAATTGTCTATCTAAATGATTAACAATGTGACAAAACTAGTCGTATCATTTGACCTGATTTAATAAGGATTCATCTTTCAACACGAGGCGTGGAAACTGTACATTTTGTTCGATCCACTTAGCCACCATGAGAAGTCGCTGTTCTTGAAGAAAGGGTGCCATGAGTTGCAGAGATATTGGCAACCCTTTATTAGAAATAGTTATAGGAACATTTACAGCTGGATGACCAGCCATATTGGCCGGCTGTGTGCAAAAGTCTTGAACGGAACACTGAGTCTGGTTATCAGTCGTTGTAAATTCCTGAATCGTAGGGGCATCGGATAAGGTTGTAGGCGTGAGCAGAATATCCACATTGGCTTGCCACGTTTTGTCAAAGTCCTGGGCTATAAGCCTGCGCACTCTCATTGCTTTGACGAAATAATCTTCGTAGTTCTCTGACAGGAGATAATAGTTGCCTGTTAATATTCTGCTTCTAACCACTTCATTGAAGCCTAAGCTTCTCGTCTTGGCATAAAGTTCCTCGGTAGAACTGTCTTCCTCGGCCCTTAGTCCAAACTCTATACCATCGTAGCGTGCCATATTGCTGGCCACTTCGCATTGATTTAGAACCGAATAACAGACTATGGAGAGGTCGGTATGAGGCAGGGACACTTGAACAATGGTTGCACCAGCTTCCTCCAACATCTGCGCCACTTTCCGCCAGCAAAGGTCCACTTCTTCGCTGAGTACCGGAGCGCGATACTCCTTTGGTATTCCAATTTTTAGGTCCGTCATTTCTGGACTGTTGGGTAGCTCAAATGGAATATAAGGTCTCTGCAAAGTCGTCGAGTCCAAGTGATCTGGACCGGCAACGGCATTGAGGACTAGAACGACATCGTCCACTGTCCGAGCCAGAATACCTGGCACATCCATAGAATTTACCAAAGGAATAAGACCGTGACGGGATACCAAACCATAGGATGGTTTCAGTCCAACAAGGCCACAGTAGGATGCTGGATTTCGTGTTGAACCTCCCGAATCCGATCCTAGAGCTGCGAAGCAGGACCCCGTGGCCACGGCTACAGCAGATCCTCCGCTACTTCCACCTGTAATAACATTGTCGTACAGATAAATTGCTCATTACCAGCATCGTTGAATGATAAGAAAACCGCGAGACTTGTAATTATTAACACTAAACAGAGTTGAGCGGGGAGATGTTTCACGCCATTATCGAAAGGGGCTTCCTAGCGCCGTGAAACTGCTTTCAAAGGGGTGAAATGTTCCCTGTCGGTGAAAAAGATCATGCCTATAGATTTCGAATACAGTACAGTACCGATAGAATGAAGTTATCGCCTTTTCGTATTCAGTATCGGGATCCATGTAAATTGGGAAAGAAGGCTATGAATACCAAATAAAGGTGTTATGTGTGGATGGTTGAGATTACGACGCAGCACCCACGTATACCCTGTTTTACCGATCACGATTTCGCCCCTTTGAAAGCAGTTCCAATTTTTGCAGGGGTGTAAAGGGCGTAGGGGGCGCCAGTGGTCCCGTCTCCCTTACAAATAATGGCGTGAAATATCTCCCCGCTCATCTTTGCATTAAAATTGTCGACAATTTATGCAATAAACGAAAATTTTCTGGGCGAAGCTAATTACCTGGGGCAGCTAAAATGTTTCTTGCTCAAGAAATTTCTTGGCTCCAGTAAAATTGATGTTGTACGAATCATTAGTGTTGCGACCCAAATGGTGGCAAGTTATAATATCAAGTGGAAAACCAACCCACCAAGCATACTATGTTGCAATTACATAACATTGGATTAACATGATATATAACGAATGTTATACAAAACATACATTAATATCATGTAATGACAAATTATTATCGTTTGGTAACATTGTTACAAACTTGTTAGGTTCGCAGTCATATAATATTAACATGACATATAACATGTTACCAATATGTTATGTATATGTTACATTACTCGTTTTATAGCAATGTTACATAGCTGTGTACGAAATGGTAATACAAATCTTACTTATATATTAAATGTTATATTACACGTTACAAACGTTATGTAACGTTTATATTATTGTTATGTATCCGTGTTTGGTGGGAAATGAACAGAATTTCATGTACGAAGTTAATGCAAGAACGAGTTCACCGATAACTGTTAGAGGTTCGCGAAAAATAATCAGAATACTATTAAATATAATTATTAAATATAATATTGGGTAATTCTATTAAATTCTAAATTATTACAAAAATATCATTAATTCTTTCAAAATCTTTTACTATTTAAAGTAAATCATCTTTCCATTCTAATACATTTACACGTAGAAAATGTAATGACAATGAGTCCTGAACAGACCTGGTGAAGCTGAAATAATTAAAATTGGGTATTGTTTGTAATTTTCGTTAATTTCATCCGATTTTATTTTGTTGATAGCAGATAAAGATCTATTCAGCCCAAAAATTTCTTTTCTCCTAAAAAGTAATTTTTTTGCTTAATGTATACAGGGTGCGACAAGTTTCCGCGATTTTCGAAAGCTGCACAAAAATGTATCCAGGTCAAAGAAATCAATTTTGAGCGTTTGTTATAAATTTCGTATTTTGAATATTATTATTGCTAGCTTAATAAATATTGTTAACTGATTAGTGATGTTGATTCATTAATTTATGAGACAGATGTGCTCTATTTAAAAGTATTTATAAAACTGTGAATTTTTGTCGCACCCCGTATACCTATGTCTACCCGACCAGTTAAATAACTGGTTTTTAAATATTAGTTCTATTTTTGTCCATTGAGTGTAATAGTCAATTTGGTAAGAACAATAGTAAAGGAATATGGTTTTTAAGTTATAATTAGGAAAAAAATTTCCTTTAATTTAACTTTAACATTTGTATTATTGCCAATTAAACTTATTACATAGAATATATAAAAAGAATTTAATTAAACTAATGAAATTTGTGCAATGAATATGATTTGTATTATCTGACAATATTCAAACAATACAAATGAAATGAAAATACCTGAAATTGCTTTGCATGTCACATTTACATATGGAATAAAATGATATTGGGAAATCATTTTTGTTTCCAAATTAAGACATTCGAGTGGATTATTTAATTGGTCAGATCACCCGTCACGGTAGAAATAGTAATAGTATGTATGTATCATGGAATAAACCGTGATCAAAAAGAGATAGATCTTACAAAATTGATTTAATTGTATATTATAGAAAAAATAGTGGAATCAATTGAGAAGAAATAATACTAAACAAAAATTTTCAAACTAATCACCTGAGCAGCTTGATAGTTCTAGCGTTAAATTACAAACTTACCTGCAATGTGCCAGTTGCTTTCATTATCAGTTTTTCCCATTTCATATGAAGAGTCCTTAGTCACGTACACATAATTAGATGCTACATCCGATCCCCACAAGTTCTTCGTTGGACCATAATACGAATCTACAGTACCAGAGCCCATTGCAAATTGATCGAGATTAGTTTTCCCGACTAATACAGCTCCTGCGCTTCTAAGTCTGCTATATACAGTAGCATCGTACGAAGGTACAAAATTTGACAGCATCAAAGAAGCGCACGTAGTAGGATGTCCTTCTACACAGAAATTATCTTTTACAGCTATCGGAATACCATCCAGCGGTCCCAGCATTTTCTTCTTTCGTTGCCTTTCATCGGATTCTTCAGCCTGCCTCTCCGCTTCATTTGTGGTCACGTTAATATATGCATTCAAAGGTTTTATAACCTGGGTCAATTTAACGGAAGCTTTGCAAACCTCCGAGGGTTGTATCTCACCAGCAGAGATCTTCTTACTTATTTGCTTAATTGGTGACGTTAGTAATTTGTTCATGTCTTCTCATACAGTGTCGACACTTTCTATTTTAGCGCGCTGCTACATAACCTAAAATTAAATGCCGGTAAATAGTAGAAGTTGTATATATACTTCAATTCAGTCAACACATTGCAGCCAATTACATTGTGCATACATACCTCTCGCATGGACAATGTAGTACAGTTGTAAAAGCAGCCGACATAGGAGCTTTAGTTGACATTTTTGACTTTATAGAAACTCGTACGACTTCCATCTACCAGTCGGGATACGAAATAATATCCATTAAGTAATCCCGTGATATTCATATATTTACCATCCGGGATATTATCATTTGAAAAGTTACACGTCGGAATATTACCATCAGGGGCATATTCTATGACTATTTTGTGACTGTATTTTTTAGAAAAGGGTACTTTACAGAAACTCGTACGACTGCCATCTACCAGTCGGGATAAAAAATAATATCCATTAGGTAATAACGTGATATTCATATATTTACCATCCGGGATATTATCATTTGAAATGTTACACGTCGGAATATTACCATCAGAGGAATATTCTACGACTATGTTGTGAGTGTATTTTGAAGAGAAGGGCAATCGCAACAAATCACTCGATTGGAATAGACATTTTTTTTTAAGGAAATTGGGCCGAACTGTCTGAAACTTTGACACATGATTCGTGAGCATATAATATTACAATTATTGTACAGAATTATAATTAATGTACACAAACAACATGTGAAGTATGACATTTAGTACAACACCTAATATAATTCGACAATTCGTCGATATAAACACCTTAAGATGATATGAAAGGTGTTCAGAAATTTAATCGACAGCGATAAATTAAAGTTCATCTATACCTTTCTTGGTAGTAATGCCGTTTTGAATACTCACGTGGTAATATAAGCTGGCGCTTTACGTTACCGACATTTATATTTATGTTGGTCTTTTACAGTCTGCGTTGAGAATTATACGAATTGAAGCGTTCCATATGTCATTTCGGTAAAGTAATGATAAAGAGATTGGCATGAAACTGTCGAAACCCCGTGAATTCATGACTGTTTATATTCCAACAGAACAAAGTCGCCATCTGTGATGCTTAGCTGCAACCAAATTTTTGCTCTAGAAACACGTGTTAGCCACGTGACAAACCAGCGTTCTCTTGCAATCGTTGGTGGAAGTATTTTCCATATTTTCCCTTGTGACTCTGTAATATTCCATTTCTACGGTATTCTAAATTGTCCAAGCAATGTTCTGAAACTTTTCATTTTCGATTCTAAGCCTTCAAGAAGCGTAAAACATCAAAACGTGCACAAACCGCGCTATATTGGTTCTAGTCCATGATAAATAAATAAATTTGTTTATGAAAAATGAAATTTCCTGAGTTTCAGGACGTACTTTCGGGCCTCCATGTTCACGTGGTAAAATTTGAAACGAATCAGTACACCCAATTCGGAGAATACTTTCCCCAATGATTTGATCTGTCAGATATTTATATAGGACAACTTTTTTATATCACCTTAACATTGACTGCATATCCATTGTATGTACAGGTAATCCTTCTATAACACGATAGATAGGTTCCTAGAAAATTCCGCGTTGGGTGAAACCGTGTTATATGAGACTCAGAGCCAGAGCAAAAAGGGGGGATTACGGTCCGAAAACCTATCAAAAACAAACTTTTTTTTTTAATTCCATATAAGCAACTTAATTTTTATTAAAAATATAAATGTATGTATAACACAAAACGAAAGAAAAAAACAAGAAATATTATTTTCATGTAAAGGCACTATAATTTATTATTCCTTCCCGCCATTATTTTAAGGTAATTTAGTTTTTAAATATGTTAAACAAAAATCATGTTATTCAGTGTTGTAGGAGTACAGTGTTGTACAAAGGTTTTCGCAATTTTCTTATTGTGTTAGAGCGAAACAGTGTATAGGGTACAGGGCTATACGAGGGTTCCCGCTATTTATCCTAGCGTATTAGAGCAGGGGGTCGACACTCCTTATGGGAGAGATGTAACGCTGAAGTTAGTTCACCTACTCCAAGCAAAGACTGCGGTGTCGTGATTTTTCAGTCTAATAGAAAGAGAAGAACAGAGAAAAAATTTTCTAACCAATAGCAAGAGACTCCAGGAGATGAAGCGGCGCAGCGTAGATGCGCATGAAAAGTGTCGGGAGGAGTGAACTGACGCGAACATAATCTCGATTAGTGGTGATTAGTGGGAATATTTTTACAGGTTTCGATCAGTTTCGATTACGTTGTGTATTAAATCGCGAACGTGAGTTTGTGAATGGAAGTGTGAGTGAAAGTGTGAATCAAGAACAGTTTGTGGTTTCTTACTATAAAAGAAACATTCCTGACTGATAGATCTATAGAATCTATGAAACTAATTATAACAAAATATTTTATATTAACACAATTTATATGACGGAAAATATTTATACATTCATAATAATTAATATTTTTATCTTATTAAATATTTGACCTTTTAACTAATGTTTAATGTCATTATTTCAGTTCTTACAATGATTTAAAACAGGCGTTGCGCTACTGACACTTTTGTTACTTCTTTTATGTTTAATATACCGTTTTCTTACATTTGTGTGTCAGTTTAAGCAACGTCTGTCTTGATCATTGCAAGTACTTTTTATATCCCAAAAATATCCCTTCGTTTAATAAATGAATTTGAATAGCCCGCCAAATATTTTAGTTCGCGAAGTTTTACTCCAACCGCAGATGGCGGTAGTTCATAAAGCGTTACACCCCAATACATGGCAGTGTCGACCCCCTGTGTTAGAGCGAAACCGTGTTATAGGATGCCGTGTTGTAGGAGGGCTACCTGTACTCCTAAATCCGGGATTTATCAGGTCCGGATACAGTAAATCGCATGTCTCCATAGCATTAATAAATACGCAGATTCAATTCTGAGTTTATCTTTATTATATCATTTATTATTAGTGTCTCGATCAGGGTTGGGTAATTCCCAATTCTTCGAGGTTTTTGACGTGTAGCACGTAACAAAGTAGTTTATCGGAGAAAATCGTAGAAAAGCAATAAATTACGTTTCCATTATGAAGAATGCCGCAGATGGAAGATATACGGCATCTGCTAGGTTATAAACGTCTTTTAGCACATATGTAAACACGGAGATATTTTAAGGAAAAATGAATTAATTTGGCGCTTCTATTAAAACTTGTTTAGGATTTTACGATTTTAATATGCCGGATTCCACAGATTCATGATATATGGACTCGCGAGGTAAACGTCTTTTAGCGCACATATAAACACGTAAAAATTGTCAAGAAATAATTAATTTGGCGTTTGTGTTCAAATTCTTTCGACTAAACCCTGTTTATTATCAAATTTCTAATTGGATTTGTTATTTTTTATTTAAAAATAGGAGGGCGTAATGTACTTTGCGCTCGCGTAGAAAACTAGGGACGTATTATATGTTGTAATCATAGAGCTTATAGACATGAGGTTTGTTCGCGTTGACTGCACTTTCTACCCTCGAGAGTAACGAGGGTACTACACTTTTCTTGAAAAGTGCACAAGGGTAGATACACTTTTGTCGATGTCCCGAACGCCAGAAACCTCACGAAAGTCCAAGATGAACGATTTAGTAAAGAGGTACGCGATTTTGAGGTTATCCGTATCGAATGATGCGGTGCGATGATCCGTATCGCATGATGATGAATACGAAAATGTAATGCTTCTTCTAGCTTTCCTTCTTGAGCCGTCTTCGTTTTCTTCAGATCCTACAATTCGTTCTATTACCTTGTAATTGTAGAAGATGAAAATTCCTTTCACGAATTTCAGATATTGAGGATCAACAAGGGTCAGAATATTATTGCAGTAAAATGAAAAACAATTTAACTCCAACAATGAAAAATTATAGTTTAGTTCATTCCAAACGCGGTTTCGTAGTAATACATAATTATTGTAAATTGTTTCAAACATTATGTACAAAACTAAAATGCTAAATCGTTCTATACATGAAGAAGATGCATTAATAATTACTTCTGTTTATATTACGTTGAGACGTTAGCATAAATTTTCTATTTTTCTGTTTGTTGGTCTCTTCAATTTTGAAATTTGCCGCCAAATTTGCGGGCTACGCTTCTTGCCCTCGCTCGGGAGCGAGGGTAGAAAGTGTAGAGAAAGTATACACTCGGGGTAGATGCCTTCGCAAAGCGAACAGCGATGTCTGCGTCACTTCCGTCAAAACGAACGCCAAAGTGTACACTTTTCGTAAAAGTGTAGGAAGTGTAGGCAAAACGAACAAACCTATGGAGAGGCCATAATAGGAGTGGAGGTCGGTTGAGGAGGTTAGACAGAGAGGTCCCTTTCTGACTCCAAGTGTTACCGGAAGTTCTTACCGCACAAGGGTAGCATATAATGTAGCATTTTTTTGTGACGAAAGGTACCGTACAGATACATAACCTCAAAACGGTTATGAAACGTATCAACTGCAATACCATTCAGAATAAATTTCATAGTGCATCTTTTCATTTGTAAGTAACAAAGAGTTAATGTAATATAATGTAGTGTAAGAATATGTTGTATAAAAGTTAGTTAATTATGACTGCGAAAAAAAGGAAGATCCGAAAAAATACACCAAGTTAATATTGATTCAAAATGAATAGATTTCCAATTGAAAAGGAAAAAAGAAAAAACAAATTTCTTTACAAATTTTACCATTCACTCTAGTGTTTAAATCTCGTGTATCAAAAGCCTAGTAATGCGCGCGCAGCTCACTTCCGGTAACACTTAAGAGTGAGAAGGTCCCTTTCTCTGTCTAACCTCCTCGTAACATCTAACTTTATACGGATACTATAGCAAATGGCCTCTCCATGTCTATAAGCTCTATGGTTGTAATATATGCGTAGAAAACCACGTATATTTCATGACGTACCATACTTACCCAATCCTGGGGGTCTATTCCGTAAAGCAAATTGAGCGAAAATGTGAAAAATGAGTAGCTGACGGTATTACGGAACGTTTTTGGTGGTGAAAATACGAGACCATTCATGTGAACTGGTTCGACACAAATTTTTAAGCGAAATAGCGAAGCGCACAAGAAAAGAGAAAAATAAGCGCCGTGAACGCCATCTTCCACGGATTGTGACACCAAAATTCAAAATGGTAAACCTGGGTGTTTTGATTTTTGGCAACAATTGTATTCGGGGATGTAATAATAACCTTATTAGAAGAAGAAGGGAATTACGTGA